CAACGAGGATTGCATCGCAGCAGCATTCAAAGAAGTTGTTGATAAGTTCGTGACTGTCGACATTGTGTTCAATAATGCAGGCATCATGAGCGACGCGCCTCATGTATGGAGGAAGATGTGTGACGTCAATGTGGTACGTACACACACATCTATACTATTATAATAAAAAGTAAACACACACATCTCTGTTGCCTAAGATCTCAGCAATTACAGCATATTTTTGAATAATTCTATTTTTAATAAAAAGACCTATACTTACGTCATGCTTTAGGCTATATATTTGCACGCCATTAAACTTAGGGGGTAAATGTTTTGGATAAAAACCCTAATGTGGGAAAGAGTCCATAAATTGTTGCCAACATCAAGGAAGCAAGATTGCTAAGGTTTGTCATGTCATGTCAATACAATTCCCGTTGCAGGGATTACACATTTGTTTTTCTCGTAGACTCGGAAAGTAATAGTTGGCGTAATATGGGCATGTTTTAAGGGATGAATCGCATGTAAGGAGAAAAGTTATGAGTGTGGTACACCGTCATAGGTAGACCTAGAAAGAGATGGATGTATTGCGTGAAAGGTAGCATGATCAAGAAGGGAGTGATGACTGAGATGACGTATGATAGAGTTATGTGGATGACAAAAATGTGATGCCCCAACTGTACGGGAGTAGGATAAGGAGGAAGATGATGATGACTCGTAGTCCTATGACCCGTAGTCTCGTAGACACGACTTTTTAACTCCCTAATACCCTGCCCGGTCTTCTGTACCTGATGATCACTGTTCTGTAATATATTAAACTCTACAATTGTTACGACGGTATAATATAATTGGAATTCATTACAAAACAAATCGACCTGATAAGAATTTGTTATTTAATCGCTATCAATATTATTATTCAAGATTTACTAGATTACTAAGGACGGATGACTTATAAAAACAAGAATTTGCCCTTAACTCCGTGCGGTATTAAAAAAAAAATAGTAAGTAGCCTATGTTTTCTTCCAGAGTATGTTCTACATATCAAAATTCCTCAAAATCCGTAGTAACGACTTTTGCATTTGTAATATTAGTAAGAAGTAAATTTAACATGTGTGTCATAGTATGACTCACTGAAATGGAAAAGGACACTGTCATATACAGGGGGTCCGAAATGACTCATTACATTTTAATATTAGATAATAATAATGTACAATGAACGTGAAAATATCTGTATTGATAACACTTTATCTCTTAAAGAAGATTATGATAAGGACATTTATTTCATTTCAATCTAAAAGTTTTTACATTTCATAAAAACAACAATTTTTAACAAAAATAATCGAACTAACGAACGAACTTTAAATTTAAAATTTCAATTCTGTTAAACCCTTTAACCATTCCTTGATTTTTTTATACATAAAGGTGGCAAACGAGCAAGCGGCTAAATTCGCCAAAAGCGACGCGACAGCTGCCCATAGACATCCGCAATTTCAGATGCGTTGCCTACCCTAAATCGATGGAGTAGGAGACGCACATAAAGAGGATATTTCCCCTATGCGTCTCCTCCAACATCAAATCCACTTTCCCATCCAATCCTTCTCTTATAAAGAAAAGGTAGGACGGGTTAGGGACTAAAATTGGGTCTCCGGCACCACACTCATCAGAAGAAACGCGGAATCGAGTCCACTTCACGCCTGTTTCTGTCTCGTCGTGGTATTTCACCGGGCGAGCCGACCCATTCCTGCGAAGATGTTAAAGCGGGCTCTACCACTGTAATAAACATTCATTAACTCTGTCTACATTTGCAGCAAGGGTTGATGTCATTTACATACAAAGCCATCAAGCACATGCGCACGGATGAAGAAGGCGCTGGGGGCACCATCATCAACATTGCATCCACCGCGGCGATCTCCAAGGGCGACCTACTACCGGCATACTGCGGCACCAAATCCGCCGTACTACAATTCTCACAGTGCATTGCTGTACGTACAACCTTTTTATTTTTATAGCATAACTAACTTTCACCCGCGACTCTGTCCCCGTGGAATTTAAAAAAAATAAGTAGCATATGTGTTCTTCTAGGCTATCGTCATCTATACCAAATTTCATCAAATCCATGCAATCCATATAGCCGTTAAGGCTACAAACTCTAACAAACATCCATCCCTCTAAACTTTCGCATTTATAATATTAATACGATATATCAGACTAGCTGTTGCTCGCGACTACGTCCACATGAAATTAAGAAATAGTAGAAAATATAGCCTATGTTACTCACTGGTTACGAAGCTTGTAAATAGTGAAAGAACTTTCGAAATCGGTCCAGTAGTTTTTCAGTTATATCAATACTTATCCCACAATTCTTGTAAATTCTCAGATAACAATCCAAAGTATACAATTTGTGATGGAAGTATCGAATTGTACTCTATCTGACAGTGACGTCACTTTTAAGCTATCTGAGCCTTTATCAGCCAGTGGTGGGAGTGAATGATCAGTATTCAATTACTTCCTGTTTCGCTAACCAATCAAATCAGTTAAAAACAACTAAATAGTTATTTATTCGTCGTTCTTATAGGTATTCATATTTTCTACTAATTTATATTAATTTTTCTCTATTATTTTTTGGGTTTTAGACTAATTTATACGAGCGGACCGGTGTAAGAATACTGACTCTATGCCCGGGGCCGACGGACACGCCGCTATTGCACAAGTTAAAGGAAAGGGGCAATGATGAAAAAGCTGGAGAGAGACTAGAAAATTACTTATCAAGTTCCGGTATCATCTCGCAAACGTAAGTAATTACAATAAGTTGTATTGAAAAGGAGTTTCAAATAACGCAAACAGCAGCTATTACAACAGCAAAGGATCACTAGCTGAAATTAATTATCTGAAATTCGTACCCTTTGAAGAGCTCGGAAATTACAAAATTTAGGACTCACTAGCCATAGCCAAGCTTGACTGGTTGACTTCACACACATATTTGAATTTCATCGCCCATCTGTTCGCGATTTTTTTCTTCTCTAGCGGGCACACTTTTGACTAAACTATCGCAAAACTGTTGTACAATTGTTGAATCAACTGTTTAATAGCATAACTAAAAAACGAGTAGTGTGCGCTGGTCCATGTAAGCTCGTAAGACGCAAAGAGAGATTAAACAGTCAAATGTGTGCGCGCGCTCTAAATGTAACGACTTTTAAACAAGTAATATAATTGTAACTAGAGATATTAATTTTAACACTGCACTAGAGATCTCATCAGGAATGCGCGCGAAATCAATCCTACTAATGACACTGACAGCTGTCAGCTAGGGACGTGACGTTTATACCGATAATCTAGTGTTGCGCCAATACTACAGCATGGTACTAATTTTCTTCTTAAAACTACATATAAAATTCGACAATTAGTAACAGATATTACGCCGGTATATGAACATAGGACCTTCATTATAAATCAAGCTTAACTGATCGGCTAATGCTATGAAATTAATTTCTTGTAATTTGTTACAGTGTCGATTCAGCAGTGAACGCGATGTTAAAGATGTACGCAGACGGAGATAACGGTTCCATTTGGTTAACAATTGACAACAAACCAGCAAAGAACATTACGGCCGTTGTTGATGCTGCATTTAATAGTTTTGTTGAAGCTATTATTAATTAAAAGTTTAAGCCTATTCTTGCTTTATTCCTTAGTATATTATATTAATATTTTATTGTCAATATGTTTTATCATCATCCACTTGTCCTTATTCCGTACGGAGGGTCGGGACAGTATGTGCTGCTCTTCCATACATCTCTGCTGTCATATCTGAATCCACTCCTTTCTTAAGCATATCCTCTTGCACACAATCCATCCATACTTTCTTCGGTCCTTGTTTAATCTCCCTTAATAAGTTTTTCACTATTACCTTAATGGCAATTTAATTTAAATTATTCTACATGTACATAAACGCGGTTCCACAACTCAAACATTGTCCATTCCTGTTTGAGTTAAATTGTAGCAATTCCTTTATGTTTAGAGAATTCGAAACTCAAACTAGAGAATGCTTTGACGACTAAAATAACAAGGCCCTTTCACACTGCTGGGCAGAGATAATTTAGAAACCTCTGGCCGTAAATAATTTCACAAAGACATCAGTCTACAATTCCTAGCATTCTTCATTAAATACTGAATACATCACTAACTAAATAAAGGTAACTTATAATATAAAACTCTGGCGTTTTCAGAACTTCCCACCAAGTTTTCATCAAAATTTTTCTAATAATTTAGGAACGTATAACAAACATAAATGTGACAAATTAAAAGCGAAATAAAACCAGCAACTCATAATCCGTAAACAGATTAATTCCAGTTATAGGAATTATAAAATATCTGTTCGTAAAACGGAATGGCGGATAAAAATATTACAAATAAATTAATTTTCCGTACTGGCGACCAGCGAGCGCTCGGTTGCAATTCAATTTGAGCAATAACTTTTCCGCCGGCAATCGCAGTCGGCCTACGAAGTTACAATCTAGAAATGATCCATATTAACTAATAAATTCAGTAGGGAACGAGTAAATACATTAGTGTACATATATTCACATTTTATAGATTACTAGCTTTCGCCTGCGACTCCGTCCGCGTGGAATTAAAAAAACAAAAGTGAGTAGCCTATGTGTTCTTACAGAGTATCCTCTACGTCTATGCCAAATTTCATCGAGATACCTTTAGCTGTATAGGCTACAAACTCTAACAAACATCGATCCATACTTCCATCCATCTAAACTTTTGCATTTATAATATTAGTATAAGTCCTCTGTCACAACCATTTAGAAGTACACAAACAGCAAAACATAGTATTTGGACTACTATACAGTTAATTATGTGAATGGGATAAACTCGGTTATACACCAATCTGTTTTGTCCGTCAGTTGTCACTGCAAGGTTAAAACCGTCATGCAAAACCTAACGTGTGTGACCTGCGTTAGAAATACCGTTTGCGACGTAACAAACTGAGTAATCTACGAGTATATCTCGGTACTCACCGTGATTGAGTCGGCGTCTGCGACAGCAAGGACCCCGAGCCACGCTTATTGAGGGGAGGGCGAGGCGCGGAAGGGCGGCGCTCCACCCCGGACGCGGAGCGGGTCGCCGGCGCACCCTCCGCCGACAGCACGCGCGCCGACACCAACGCCGCTTCCGGACAATGCTATAGACACAAGAGAAATAAGTTGAGGAAAATTTAACTAGCAATATCAATAAAGCTCGTCCTAGGCTTTGACGACCACGTTAATATCATCTGTCTTGTCAAGATAAACTACCGGCTATCCAACAAACCCGCGAACCAACGGCCTAGTCCGTCATTGTAGGACCTAAAATTGCACAATCTTATCGGCTGCCTTAATTGTATCGCAATTTCAGTAACAAATACCAGTGAAACGTAGGTAACGTAACATACTAAATGGTTGTGATTTGCACTTTTGTATTCCACGTTAATAAAACTGCATGGGAATTATTCTTGTAATTATATTACAATCATGAAAACTCATAGCTGCATGGCATGCAATAATAGTTACTTCATCACTGACATCTTTACAGTCCGGTTGTGGTCACCATGTAACAGTGTCAGTGATCAGATTTACCCCGCCACTCTTTTATAGCATTCAGTGGTTAAGGAACCTCCTTAGCTGTTCAAACCTCACGTCATTTTAAATTTAAAACACAAATTTACAAATCAAAATGTCGTTTGAATAAATTCTATTTACAAGATTGCTTTATAATACATTAGTATTTTATTACAGACATTAATCACTTCAGTTCAGTCGATTGTCTACAATGCTACATTTTATGGCTCAATAACTCCGAATGGACCACTTCAGTGAAACATTGTTATGCCCGCAACAGACGCTCAGATAAATTGAAGAGTCGAAATTTTCAGTTAAAACTGCGTGCGGAGGAGTATGTAGCGGTCTTTACTAGTACTTGAAGGTTTCCAACATACGTCAGTATAGTTTTTAATTTAATTGGGTTTTTTTTTAGCAATTCTTATTAAGTAATATTTTATTCTGTATTTTTCAATTTCTATGAACCTCCAAGGTGAAATTGAAGGTCAGTTCTAAAACACGAAACTTTTAATGATCGAAATTTAATTAAAGAAAACTTATCTTTCTTAAGTAAAAAATAAAACAAGTACAAGAGGAAAAGTTGAAAACAAAATTAATATATCTTTCATCAACAATCGAGATAATAAAATGAAATATTTTCTTGTCCGCAAACAAAATGTTTAGTAGACAAACAAAAACAACCAAGTACAAACATTAACGATACAAGAAAAAGAAAAACAAGCCATTGTATTGTAGCACTTGGGAATTTATCCAGAGTATTGACTAAAGTTTATTTCCCATCGGCATGCGGCCTATATACTACTAAAGAAATTCAGAAAACATTTACTGACTTACACTTTTTTCTTTTGTATTTATATACTAGCTTTCGCCCGCCACACCGTCCTCGTGGAGTTAAAAACCAAACCGAATAGCCTATGTGTTCCTCTAGAAAATCATCTACGTCCATGCCAAATTTCATCAAGATTCTTTCGTTAGATTATGCTACAAACTAACAAACATCCATCCATCTATCCAGACTTTCGCATTTATAATATTGGTAAGATATAAGATTTAAAAAACGAATATAAGAGCCCAAAAACGTCATTACAATTTTAAGGGACCGTCCCACAAATTATAAGTAAATTGTCTTATAACAATCCAACGTTTAAAATATGTAATATCGGATTATGTTGCCTTATCTAACAGTGACGTCATTAAGCTATCTCAGCCTCTATCAGCCAGTGGTGGGACTGGCCCTAATTGTAACAATGGTCATAAATTAACCATGAATTTATTCCAGATGTGCATAAAATATCGTGTTCATTTTGACGTGTACATAAATCAATAACGTTATGCGTGTGATCTCAATATTTGTGTCATTTCCACAAGATGGTAATCGTGCCCCGTAAAATCTCATGCGACAAGCAAGGGCGAATAAACGCCCCAATTACAAAGGAAGACCCGCGTGAATTACAAATATAATATAACTGCTATAGTTAAACAGTAGTAGAGAGAATTACATGAAAATTTATTTGCTCATTGATCGAAATTTACACGTAATTCTTAATCCAAACATACTAACTACTATTATAAATGCGATAGTTTGAATGGATGGATGTTTGTTACGAGTTTGTAGCCAAAACGGGTAACGGGTTTCGATGAAATTTGATACTGATGTAGAGGATAGTCTGAAAGAACATAATCTACTCACCTTTTTTTAATTCCACCCGGATATAGTCGCGGGCGAAAGCTAATATTTTACAAAAACATTTTACATACTATGCGAGCTTTAATTGTGTAAAATCTCATATTCGTACGTTCACGTAATTGTTTTAAAAAATAGGCACAAACTTTTCGCTTACGTATTAATATAGTGTTAATTGAAATCCTACTGCCAATCGAAGTTTCAGAATCCACCAGCCAATTCACAAAGCATTTTATATTTGCAATTACAAGTCCTGCATATATTAGCAAAGGACCAACGGATAAGCGTAAAAATAATGGAACCTTCCCTACACTGAATAATTTATAAGACCCACAAAACCCAATCTATTAATCTTCTTCAATAAGCAACATAATGAAAAACATCTAGAATGTTCTCTCGAACAGAACCATCTCTAGTTCTAACGTTCACTACAATCAGCATCGGTGTTAGAAAAGGGCGACCGCCCAGGGCGCCTAGTAGGCAGGGGCGCTACAGATTTACGAATCACTCCCATATGACACTCTCAACGCCCTCCCCCCCGCGCCCAGGGCTCCAAAGGTATGTGATTTACTCCAATATAACACTCTCAACACCGCCCCTCTAATGGCTACAAAGGAAGAGGAAGACCGAAGAAAGTATTGATGGATTGTGTGAAAGAGGATATGCTTAAGAAAGGAGTAGATTCAGATATGACGGCTGATAGAGATGTATGGAAGTGTCGGTTACAATCCTTTAGTGTTAATTTCCCACACTAAAACTACACTTAGAGACCCAATGTATGTTACAATTATAATTTATTACTGGACGTAATTTAGCTAAATGCTAAAATATCCGATACCTCGGTTTCGGATTAAAGATATTTCGTAAAGTAATCAAAGTGAAAGCGTGATTCAATCTTACTAATGGGAGATTGCATCTGCCGAATATCAGAGACGAACTTTATTTCACAGCAACATTACCATAAAAGCAATTTATAGAATTACATTAACGAAAAAAATGTGTAATGTTAACAAAAAAGAGGCAAACCTAAACAAGTCCAAATTAAAATTCAATGTATAATCAAAACGTGAAATTCAGCCTGTTTTAAATATCTGTCTCTGTTCTTCCGGGGGGAGTAAAAGAGATGACAGGCTATCACCTCCTTTAATGTAAAAAGTACTTGGTTTAAGACCATATTATCACTCTAGACGTAGCCTACATTGGCGACGCTTATGAAGCATTCTCATACATTCCATTGTATATGATTAAAAATCTAATTAAAAAATCTTTTTCCCATTAATAAAGCTTCTTATTTACACTAACTACAGCATTTTGATAATTTAGACTTTATGTTGAACTGGTAACTGGTTTGAGATAACATACGAGAGGTAATTACGTTACAGCAACCTTGTAAAGACATGCTGTTTGTATCGATTGCATGTAACAGACACGCGTGTATACCGTGCAAGGCATACATAATGTCCGCCTGAACTTAGGCTTTGTTTAATTTATATAAGACTAACTGTAACTCGCGACTTCGTTCGCGTCAAATTAAAAATTAGCCTACGTTACTTATAGTTAAATTACATTTTTAATAGCGAAAGAATTCTTAAAATCTACTGAGTAATTTCTACTGTGAAATACATACAAAAATACAAATCTTTCCTCTTTATAATATTAGAATAGATTATTCGGATTCGCGAGCAAAAGTATAAATCTACGACTGAGACATTAATTAAAGGATATTATTTACTTTTCACGATAAAAATTTATCTAAACAAACAAAACAAAGTTAAACGCGATAATATCGATAAATTTCCAATTCCAACAGTACATCCCTTATCAGAAAAACAAACATTGTGTCGACAAAATATTTTGTATTCGTCTCAGCATCGCCTAACGAAGCAAAATATTTGTTTTGCCGAAACGAAAACATAAATTACGACGTAAACCGTTGACAAATGTTAGATTTAACGCACCCACCACGATACTGTATTACTTTAAAAAATATAAATAAACCCTGATTAGATAAACAGGTGTTTTTACTATATTATGGACGTCAATGTGGTTATAAGTTAATAAAAAAAAAAACTGTTAACTACCAAACGAGAATAAGCTTTAAACAAAGTAATATTGTACAATATTAGATACGATCTGTTGCCCACGACTTCGCCCGCGTGAAATTATTATAAAGCCACTGATAACTTGCTTTTAAATGGAGAAAGAATTTTTTAAATCGAACCACAAATTAAAAAAAAAATGTCTCATCACAACGCTTTCGGTATAAATATTTACTTTGTACAAGTTAGAATTTCAACAAATAAATCGAAGTATTTTATTTACGCATTTAGTTGGATAATTAATGTTTTGGCTTGTAATTTTTTTACTAGCCGGCCGCCTGCCTGACGCCAAACCCTCCTAGGGACTACTTAAATAATAAATATTAACTATTTTATTTATTATACATGCTTATTAAAAATTAAAATAATTATAAAACAAACAGGGAATAAAAAAATCTGAAATAAAAAACACACACACACTAAAAACACAAACACAAAAATAAGTTCCTCTACTCTGTTTCTGCTTCTGGTCTTTCTTGATTTCTTTGTTGGTGATCGTTCCCTGGGCTAAAGTTGTTGTTGCTGTCCTCTGAGTTTTGATGGGTACCGTTTCCTAAAATATGATTCTTGTGCTGATTTTTGAGTTTCAATCGAAATTTGTTGGAGTCAAAGCTCGTCAAAATTTGTTCATTATGCATCACTGCCATTACCATGGTACTTAAAATGTCCGTATAGGTCCAGTCAAATTTTGCATGAATGATTTCATATGGAGTAAATATGGTATATATTTTTTACTTCCTTACGATCTAATTTATTTTCCTTACTTCGGAACACCAATTATTAAATAACACCAACGAAAAAC